CCTCCTTGGGGTCTCTCTCTCCACCACCTGACGGCCACTACCCTCGAGAACAGGAAGCCGGCGGCTTGTCGAAGATCTCCCCCAATTTGTTTTGATAATCTTTTCCAGATTGATTTTGTAATTCAAAAGTCTTGGTATTTACGGCTTCGGCGGGTAGGCAGCTCTATGGGTAATAATTCATTGTCTGAACAGGCAGGCATTGTATATGGATACATATTAGGGTTATATGGAGGTTCCCCCCCCCCCTCCGGGTCGAACTACTGCCTGGTGGCACAAGTTGACTAGCTCCTGGATACCTATTTACTGCTAGGTGAACAGAGGCATCAGGTGACCATTCCCCAGGATGCAACCCCACACCAGTTGTTTTACACATTGACAGGGAAAACAGCTATATTTGTGTTCTTTGGTCCTAGGAAAAAAGATAACACGATCATGTTTGTGTTCTTTGGTCCTAGGAACATAGATAACAAGATCAAATCTGCCCTTTGACCCCAAAAAATATATGGAAGACAGTATCATAGATATATTCTTCGACGCAAGAGACAGAAAATCATGACATACTTGCGTTCTTTGACACCTAAATCACAGAAAACAGTCTATCTGTTCTTTATAATGCAGAAACACAGAAAACACGGTTATGTTCTTTGACCCCAGAAATATGGAAATGGTCATAGATGTGTTCTTTGACGCAATAAACACAAATATTCTGACGTTTGTGTTCGTTCACAACAAAAACATAAAAATACTGTTTATCTGACTTTTCAGAAAATAAAAACATAGAAATATCTGGTCTGTGTGTATTTTATAACTACCCAGAAGCTATAGAAAATTAGATCATTAGATATTTGATCCCTGAAACATAGCACACTCATCTTTGTGTTGAACGATTTGGCGGGTCGTATTCCAGAGAAAATTAGGATTAAGGACTTGTCCGAAACGCTATACGTGCTAGTGGCTGTACAAGAATGTACGAACTCTTGTATATATTTAAATAAATAATAAATAAATAAATAAATAAATTTATCTGGTCACAGACAACACATGATCAGGTATATGTTCATTGACAGCAGACACAAAGACTGCCAACACTGCCAATTTATGCGTTATATGGTTCCAGAAACAGAAAACATAGGCTTATATGTGTTCTATAACCACACAGAGAACTAGCTCAAATTTGTATTCTACGGCCCTGAAATATAGAAAAATAAGGCATGTACGTTTTCTTTGATCAAAGAAACATAGAAAACTGAGTCGTATGTGTTCATTGACAGCAGAAAGAGAAAACATTTTCATATTTATGTTTATCTGAGTTTACCTTAGAGACAATAACACAAGTGGCCTCGACTAGGACTGGAAGCCGGCGGCTTGTCAAAGGTCCCCCTCATTTGCCTTGTTGTTCTTTTCCAGCTGTACCTTGTGTTCTTTGACCCAAAAAAATTACCTAAATTTACCTGCCACTATCTCTCTAGTAGCCCTCGACGAGGACAGGAAGCCGGCGGCTTATCGAGAGTCCCCCTATTTGTTCTGATGATTCTGTCCACCGGGATTTTGAAATTCAACAGAGTTTTGGCATTTACGGCTTCGGCGAGTAGAGAGTTCCATGGGTTTATAACCCTGTGGGTGAAAAAGCATCTCTTATTCTAAGTCCTACATTGTGGCTTTTTGAACTTGAAACTGTTGCTCCTCGTTTGTGTTGTATCTGACATTCTGAGTAAGTTGTCTGGATCAACATCCTCCAAATTCTTCAGTGTTTTGAAGGTTTCAATGAGATCCGCCCTGTCATGACTGGTTTGCAGTGTTGTTAGCCCTGTGGCCCTTAACCGTTCCTGGGACAAGAGTTGACTTGGCTCTGGAATGATTTTTGTTGCCCGGTGTTGCACTTTCTCCAGAGCAGCTATATGTTCTTCTGAAGATGAGGTCTCCATGCTTGGATACAGTAATCCAAATGGGGCGCACCAGAGATTTATACAATTGCATAACTACCTATACTTTCGCTTGGCGCTTTACCCTGATAATTCCCTCCCTCCCTCCATGAAGTCAAAATTTGGTTTGATAAGTCTCAGGATTTCGTTGTCTTTTCTTTTTTTACTGCCGCTCCAACTTGTGCAATTTTAATGATTGATGGATTCTGACTCCAAGGTCCTTTTCTTCGTCAGTCTGTTGCAAGGTAATGTTGTTGATCTAGTAGTCGTGGTGGTTGTTATGCCCCACATGTAAGGTCTTGCATTTTTCGACATTAAAAAGCATTGGCAAGTCTTCTGACCATTTGCAGAGTTCATGTAGATCTCTTTGCAAGGCCTCAAAATCATTTTCACTTCCCACTTTACCATAGATCTTTGTGTCATATGCAAATTTAATAATGTGGTTTGTAATATTCTCATCTATATAATAATTGTATATGACAAAAAGGGGTTGACCCCAAAATGGACCTCCTGTTTTACCTCACTTACCACATTTCTCCAGTCAGATTCCTTCCCATTTAGCACCACTCTTTGTTTTATTTGTTTTAACCATTGTTTTATCCATTCTAGTATTTACCACTTATTCCATGTGCCTGTAATTTCCTTGCCAGTCTTTCATGTGGTACCTTATCAAAGGCTTTAGCAAAGTCCATGTATACTACATCAACCAGAAGTCCTTTGTCAGAGTAGCTGGTTACCGTTTCCAAAAATGTGAGCAGGTTTGTAAGGAAAGATCTATTGTAACAAACCCAGGTTGTGTCGAGTTTACAAGATTGTTCACTGAAAGATGGTGAATGATTCTCCCCATGAGCTTGCAGATGTGTGATGTCAAGCCTATTAGACGGTAGTTCTCCGCTGACCCCTTTCTGCCTTTTTATATAATAGGGGTGACATTTGCACATTTCCATTCCCGGGGAACTATCCCTTGGGCCAGAGACTTTGTGAAAAATAATTTCAGTGGCAGGCATAGTTCTTCTATTAGTTCCTTAATGACTTTGGATTGTATTCCATCCACACCTGGGGCTTTCCAGTCTTTTAGTTTGTTAATGTTCTTCCTGATTGTGTCCCATGTTATGGTTATATTCCTAAATTCATCAGAAACAAATACCTATTTGATATTCCAAGAGTACGACTTAGTCAAACTAGAAATGCTCTCCAAATCATGGGACCCAGAATGTGGAATGACCTTCCCAATTATGTCAAAGGCTGTACCTCTCTCAACCAGTTTAAGATGAAAACTAAGTACTACCTAATTAACTCCATGTAACCTACCTTACTTCTAAATGTCAACCTATGTCTTACTATTAAAAAAATAATGCTGTTTGTTGGCCAACTTGTATATTGGCTATTTTCTACCATGTCCTCCCCCTTTTTTTATCTTTTATTATTTTTTCTTTCAACGCAATTTATACTTTAAGCTCAATTACTATTAAGTTTTAGTCTAAGTGTTTTTTCCCCACCTCACCTTGACCGAAACATTATGTGTACTAGTGGCTTTAGGTATTGTATGTACTATGCAGGCGATGAGTCACAATAACGTGACTGAAGAATATTGACCAGACCACACACTAGAAGGTGAAGGGACGACGACGTTTCGGTCCGTCCTGGACCATTCTCAAGTCGATTGAGAATGGTCCAGGACGGACCGAAACGTCGTCGTTCCTTCACCTTCTAGTGTGTGGTGATTGATTGACGAAGATTAGGCCACCCAAAAGGTGGCACGGGCACGAATAGCCCGTAAGTGGTGGCCCTTTTGAGCCATTACCAGTATCAATATCAATAGATGATACTGGAAATCTGTGGAGGTGCGGCTGCACCCTGCGTGACGGGAGATGTCTCCCGTGCAAGTGTGTGGTCTGGTCAACATTGTATGTACTAGCTCTATCTATAAATCCAACATTATGTTTGTAAAACAACTATGAATGTACTTTCCTGAATAAAATTTACTTTACTTTACTTTACTTCCTTCTCTTCACCTCCTTGAAACACTTGTGAGGGGTGATGGGATGTCATCTAATCTTTCTAGTGTGAACATTGATGTAAAATATTCATTGTTACGATATCGACACCATTGCTGGAGTACGGAGTGGCAATTTCAGCGCCATCTATGGGTCTGGAGGCCACAATGAAGGACTGATGAAAGATGTTTTCACCCACAGGGTTATAAACCCATGGAACTGCCTACCCGCCGAAGCCGTAACTGCTAAGACATTACACTGCAGTTCAAAATCCAGTTCAATAAAATATAGACCAAGGGGGGGGGGGGGACCTTTGACAAACGGCCAGCTTTGTGTCCTCGTCGAGGCCACTATAGAGATGGTGGGTCTCTGGTAAATTCAGCTAGGTGTCTGGGATTTACATAGATTGACCCCGAGTTTGATTCCAGGACAGGGTAAAACGTTTGGAAACGTTTCCTTGCACCCGATCCTTCTCTTCATCCTACCAGAAAATAGATACCCAGGAGTATGCAAACTGTTGTGGGTTGCATCCTGGCGATGGTGAGTCTACGGGACCTCCATCACCATTCTGTTCCCGTCTGTTTCAAGAAGCTTCAAATAGACGTGAACTCAAATAGGTTTAGAGAAAGGTCAAGTAAATTGAATGGTAATTAAAAATGCCTCGAGGCAAAGGCTACGAAATTGGAACCATTAGAAATAGGAATGGACAAGTAATTGGGTTGCGGGGATACTACCAAATCCCAGGGAAATCATCTAAGAATAACGTAATTTAAAGTAGGGTTGGGAATAGGAAAATATGCTGGAAAATATTGTAAATAGGACAAAGACAGGTCCATTAAATTGGGGGCATAAAAAAAACAGAGAAATCATATTAAAATAGTGACATGAACCCTTCCAAATCTCTCCACAAAACTCCCATAAAACCATGCACCCAAGAGGCCACAAATCGCAGCAAATAGTCAGAGGAAGTAGGCAAGAGCAACCCAGACTAATTTGGCGGGAAACAATTTGAAAATGGCGCCAGAGAAAATGGGATCTTTGCGGCGGGCGTGACATCTGGCGGCGGCCGCGGGAGTCACTCATAATGGCTTGTTTGTTTATGTTTGGGGACCCGTCGCCCTGACCTGACTTTTCCCTGGATTTTCTCACCCACCTGCGATGGGGGAGAGCTGCGTGACCTAAGGTAGGGAGGCGTGGGCACCGAGGGCGTGGGCGGAGGCATGGGCTGGACGCGGGAGGCGCTGGGAGAAGGGTAAATGAGGCGGGAAGTGGAGGCGACGGCGGCCATTGACTTGGGCCGGTCCAGCCGCTGGTACACGGGTTTTCCTCGCTGTGAGGGGCAGTGGAGGGTTTTGGTGAGGGGCGGGGGAGGGGCAGAGGGAGGGGGTGGTTTGGGGGGAAGGTAGGGGTGATGGGGTGACTCCCACTAGGGGCTCAGTGTCAGGCAACCCCACGGTCCACCGCCCATGGGTGCTGCCTAGGGTCTGGGGCCCATTATAGCCCGCCAGGGATTATAGGCCATCACTGGCGGCCTATAACGACCCGATATAATGAATTGAATGACTGAGCAGACAGACCGTGGTTGGCTGCACGCAACATGTCATCCGCACTGGTCTGGGCGGATGAGTCACTTGGAAGCATTAAAAACATTCAGGTAACCCCTTAGCTGATGATATGTATGGTTTAGGCAGAAAATTAATTTGGTTGTACGATTTGACTAGTACCCTGCTCACAGTACATTGCTCGCAGTACTCTGCTCATAGTATAATTTCCACCGAAAGCCATTACGACTTGCAGTTTCTTCCTCATGTGATTTTTTTTTTAAATTGAATGCAGGTCGACATTCAATTCCTGACCGTCCAAGTGGTTGGGCACCATTCCTTTCCCTCATCTCGACCCATGTCCTTATCCTGACCCCCTTCCAAGTGCTGTATAGTTGTAATGGCTTGTGCTTTCCCCTGATAATTCCCTCCCTTCCCTCCCGGAGTGCTGTTGGCCAGGAAGAGCAAGGGGCAAGAAACGGCTGCTAGTTTAGCAGCTTTGTGTCCCCCTCTGCCCCTCAGACCATGAATGGCAGCAGCAGCGCAGCTAGCGCTTGGAACATGAATGGCAGCAACATAGCAAATTTGAGCTGTTTCTTCCTCAGCCTTTCTCTAAGGATTCGTTTTTATGGCGTGTGGTCAAATCGTACCCAAGCTCATTTTCCGATTGTCAAAGCCGTGTGTGTGTTAGGCTGGGTGAACTTCGATTAATTTTCAAAATCCCATTTATATAGTCATTTGAAATTGTGGTGAAGATTAGAAGTAGAGAAAGCCTTGAACCAAAACCATAATACGTCATACATGATGTCCGGGTGGTACTCAAGGATTTAAGCCATGTTTATTTCTATTATTGTAGTGAATATATTTTTATTTAATTGACGTATCATACTCTAGAGAACTATATGTGACATGTACAGACCAGTGGGGTTGGTCTGTACATGTGTTGGTTGGATTAGATGTGATGAAATGCACATCATGTAATTTTAATGTACTGTATTTGATAAAAAAAGACATTATATTATGTTTGTTCACTAATATGTCGTTGTTGTTGTTTTAGATTCAACTACTGTACTCACAACAAAAAGTTTCAAGTAGCACGGGCTATGGTGAGCCCGTAGTGGACTTTCCTGGCACAGGAGTGGGGCTGTAACTACTGATATGTCATTGGCTCAAAATGCAGGGATTGTTTTGGGTCTTACTGGGTATGAGAGAAGGCGCATCTTGTGGGGATTGTTTTGGCTCTTGCTGGGTTTGAGAGAAGGAACATCTTGGCACATCACATCACGTTTCTTTCACATTTGCTTATTATTTGTAATTTTGTCCACACATTTATACCAGTATGTTCACTGATTGGTGATCCTTAGCTTTAGCATCAAACTATAGAGTATATTCACTGACAATACAGCAACTACGAATGTATTTAAGGATTTAACGGTGTATTGTTATATTAAATGTTTGTGTTGAAAATAAGGTTTATTACATTCTGCATGGTACACTACATACACAATATGCTGAGCCAGTTGAAAATAAGTTTTATTACGTGATGCATTATACACTGTACACACTACATACACATGCTGAGCGACTTGAAATTAGGGTTCATTATATGCTTCATATTACACTGCAGCATGCACTATGTGCATGCTGAGGGACTTGAAAATAAGGTTTAGTACATTCTGCATTATGCATGGTTCATGCACTACATAAACAACACGCTTGGTTGAAAATGAGGTTTGTTACATGCCGTGATGTTCACAGAACACAATACATATACGGTGCACTGAACCCAAGTGAAGAATGTAGTACAATTTCGTTTAAAGATAACCTCTCATGGAGTATTTCTAAATGCCTACAGTTTTGACCTCAAATTTCAAAGTACTGAATCTTTTGTTTCCTATTTAAGCTATCAATTTGTCTCGTGTTTAATTATATTGAAGCTGTTGATTGAAGTTTCTTATTTAAGATGTCAATATTAAGGCACCCATGCAATTAAGCATTCTTTGCTTAATTATTCTGTGATTTGTAGTTTGATGTAAGGTCAGCTTAGAGTTAACCTTTGTGCTTGTCACTTGTGATGGAAAAATGTCCTTGTGATTATGTTCATTATAAAATGACAGTTTATTGTGCTATAATATTCTGCATTTATAATTTTGGTGCTAATGTAGTTGTAATATTGCAAAAGCCCAAATGACAACACTTTCAGAGTTGGGCTTTTCCACACATACTAATTCATTGTGTCAGGGGACAGGCAGCCAGAGTGTATTCATACATGTTAGGCTTATATTGAGGTCCTCCCCTTTCCCCCAGGGTCGAATTACTGACCGTGCCCAGGATGCAACCTCGCAACACGCTGACTGACTCCTGAGTGCCTACTTACTGCTAGGTGAACAGATACATCAGGTGAAAGGAAATGTGCCCAACCATTTTTGTCCCGCCCGGGATTTAAACCCGGAATTCTCGATTGTGAATAGAGAATGAACCCAACTGTGCTACCGGGACCCTAAAACATGTTCTGGGATGGGACGTGTTTGTGTTTGTTATCTTTATGTTGTACTTTAATCCCAACAGTGCCCCAGTTGCTGCTGGGGATTTCCTCCTATTCTCCAGACAATATCTTTGCTTCCCTCCTGTGCTCCAGTGTGTCTGGAGTTTCATCCTCTACTCCAGGCACACTCTGATGTCCTCTTGTGTGAGCCCAACTGCTTGGATTGGTTGGTTTAGCGATGGTCTTGCTGCTTGCAGGTAGGCAATCGATTCCCAATCAACCAAGTGGTTGTGCACCGTTCCTTCCCTCTGTCCTATCCCAGATCCTTGTTCTCATATCCTTTCCAAGTTCTATATAGTCATAATGGCTTAGCACTTTCTTCTGATAATTACCTTACCTTCCTCCTGTTCTCCAATTGCTGAGAGAGAAAAATATCAATGTGAAAGGCCTGAGACTTTTTAACACGCTCGTTGTAAATATAAGGAGCATAACAGGCTGGGTTCTCACGGTGTTCAAGAGAGAACTTGATAAACACCACCAAAGGATACCCGATTCAACCAGGTAATGACCCATACGTCAGGCTGCAAGCAGTCGCACCTATCAGCCTGGTTGACCAGACCATCAACTAGAAGGCCAGGTCAGAGATCGGGCCATGGGGACGTTGACCCCTCTGAATCATCAAAAGGATAACGGAAGGTAAACAACATATTCCCATTGATTCGTTGATGTTTTTGCTGATATGCATCTTTATGTAGTACAGTATTAAATATACATGTCATTTAGGGTTAAAACTTGTTGTGCGGCTCTCCACCAGAGTCCCCAACTAATGATTCTAGAGTTTCAGAGTGACCAGCGTGTAAAAAGTCTCAGATGCCCTAATCTGGGCATCTACCTGTTGTTGGTTCTAGGAATCCATGTCCCCGCCTGACAGTTGAGTGGACAACACTTCGGATTCGTAGTCCTGAAGTTCAGGGTTTGATTCTCCGGTGAAGGCGGAGACATGGGCAAAGTGTTTTTCACCTTGATGCCCCTGTTACCTAGCAGTAAATAGGTACCCGGGAGTTAGACAGCTGTGCTTCCTGGGGGTGTGTAACAAAAAAGGAGGCCTGGTTGAAGACCGGGATGCTAAGCCTTGAAATCATCTCAAGATAACCTCAAGATAACCCCCATGGCCCAGTCTCTGACCAGGTCTCCTGGTTGGTGGTCTGGTCAACCAGGCTGTTAGATGCAGCTGCTCACAGTCTGATATATGATTTACAGCCTGCTTAATCAGGTATCCCTATGTCTGTTAGCCCTATGTCTGTCTGATTTGAGGATGAGAACAATTACCAGAGCAAGCTCAGTACCCTGGGGGGACTGAACTTTTCACATTGGAGGATCCAGATTTGTCTTTGTTGACTAATGTTCCTTTTAGCCTTAAATATAACCAGATGATAAGTCACAATGTGCCTGAAGACGTGATTTCCAAACCACACATCAGAAAATGAAGAGACGATGACATTTTGGCCTGTCTTGGACCATTATGAAGTTGCCTTTTGGCTTGAATCTGGCACCTTGCACGTTCATGCATCTTACCCTGGTCGTGGTGAGCTGTCTGTAGAGTGGTACCACAGTTTTCGTATTTAATTCATTCCCAGAAACGGTACAAAAACCAAAATCTACAAAAATCGAAATGAATTTTCCATAAGAAATAATGTAAATTGAATTAATTTGTTCCACACCCCAAATATATTAATATTTAACTAAAAAAAATACATTTTATAGAGAATAATACTCTTAGGTACCTTACCTTTATTGAGAACTCTTGTTGGCATATGGAAAACAGTGAGGAAGTGGGGGGAGGAGAGGTGTTAGTGTTTGGAGGGCAAGTTCCCTTCCATTATAACAACAGTGATGACATTTCTGGGGTACTCTCTCTTACGTTTTCCAGGCTTACCACTAGGACCTGGTTATGGCTCGCTGCTTGCTTGTCTTGCTAAGAATCTGTCTATAGGCAATTGTTATTCCCTACATTTGAACACAATCTGTAGCGAGACATCATTGTCTCGCTATGAATTGTCTCATTTTCCCCCCTCTATCTTCATCCTCACAACTATTTTCTTACATTGAACAATACCACTGATTTTCTTGGAACCCATGGCATGATATATAATAAAA